ATGTGTATACATGTGTATATATGTGTATATATGTGTATGAATGTAAATATGTATGTATGTATGTATGTATGTATGTATGTATGTATGCATGCATGTATGTATGTACAAACCCTCTTGCAAGAGCTTGAAAAGAGCCAACAAGTGCAACCCTGCAATGAGGCGGTATCTTAACCCCGCAGAGATTCTAAAGCCCGTTTGGGTTTTGGGGGCTACAGGGGTTTAGGGTTTAGGGGTTTAGGGGCTTAGGGGCTAGGGGTTTAGGGGTTTAGGGGTTTAGGGGTTTAGGGATTTAAGGTTTACGTTAAACTGGTAGGTTGCCTCTGTGGGGGATTAAGTGTTTCACATCCTTTAGCGGGGTCTGGGTGTCTTTCCTAGCTACGACTTGTCAGGAAAGCTACCCTAAGCCCTAAACCCTAAACCGTCTTATGACATTGACTGGGATTCTTGGGGCTTGGGAGATTCGGATTCACGGAGCATGGGCCTGCATTGAGAGGATGTAGACTTTGTACCATGTTTGGTTCCCTGTTGGGGCTATATTGAATCCTTATTGGGTTTTTCTTTTAATGAAAATGGAAAACTGTAGCCAACAATCAGGGATCCAAATGTCTCAAGCATGATGGCTGTTGCCGAGACGCCATTTCGAAGCCATCCAGAGAACAGAACCCAGAGCACATATCCTACCGTCCTTGGAGCCTTGAGGTAGCGTAAGTGCACACTAAGAAAATCTGGAACCTAGGAGACTGAGGAAGACGAGTCGTGCAAACAAATTGTGGCTCCGCTAGCCAACACCTTTCCGAAAAACCCCAAACCCTAAACCCAAAACCCTAAACCCTAAACCCTAAACCCCTAAAGCCCCAAATTCCGAAAGAAACCATGAAACCCCACGCTCTCATCATCAGGCTCGGCAGCCTTTTCTAGATATATGCCAGAACCCAGAGACGCCAATATCCCTTAATTAAGGAATATACCAAATCTTATTAGGGTTCCTCTTGCAATTTAAGGTATATTCCTTAATTAAGGGACAATGGAGTCTGTGGGATATAGCTCAAGAGAGGCCGACCAATCAACCCTAATTCAGCAATACTCCTGACTCCTGAAAGCATTGCTATAGTAATGGCCCCAAATCATGTACGGGGGATTCCTTCGCACAGAGGTAAATGAGCTCCATGCCTTGAAAACTTGTCATTGACTAAGCATGCACAGATGTACGAAACCCCAACCCCAACACCCTCAGCCCAAAACCTTTCAACACTCCTAAACCCTACCCCCGAGCCCTAAACTCCAACGTCTAAAGCCCCGAACTAGAACCCGGCACGAACACCCGGATGTGCTGGGCCCTTAATGCAAGCAAGCTTCTGGTAGTACTCCAGAGGACATCCCACGACATTGTGTCGTTACCTGGTTGCTAGAAGTGTCGAAAAAGGGTTCCTGATTCTAGAAGGGTCTTGTAAGGACTGTAGGGTTTGGGTTTCGGGTTGCGGGGAATGGGAATTTAGCTGCTGGTTCGTAGTATCTTGACATCCGGGGTCGATATGAGAAGCCGCATGAATAGGCAAATGGTGCTGTTGCCTCAGTCCTGCCACAGCAATTGATGGGGGCCATGTGCCCAGGAAGAAGCGAGTTTTACGGCCTTTTTACCTTTTCTTGGTCTTCGGGAGGGAGTACCTGTTGTTCAGGCCAGTAGCCGCTCAAATTGCAGGGCCGACTTGATGTGAGGCATTCAAATCGTACTGAGGGAAAATTGACAAAACCCTCGGTTCCCGAATGCCAAGCCTCTGATGCGCAAGACTCGTACGCTCCCCGCATGGCCAAACCACGCAGCTCTGTTGCTTTCCCTCACACGACATGTGCAACGATGGATAAGCATCCACCTGTACGGACGGTACACTGGAAGTGAGGAAGCAAACCGTACCACTCGTTTCCGCTATATATGCAGCTACACAGCTACCTGAAACGCAAAACAGGCAGCCGAACCCATCTAGAACTGAACTTAGCCGTCTATGCGCATTTGCTCGCACGCCTACAAAGCTGTCCAGGCAACTGCTTGCCTATGAAGCCCACCTATTAACGGTGAAACGTCAGGCTGAGATAAACCTAATGAATGCAAATAAGTGCATGTGCTTTTTTGATCGTATTTTGCAGTATAGGTCTGCTCCGGATGTACTTAAAACTTACTTGCATGTGTGACACAGGCGCTTTGAAAGGACCTGCAGCAATTACAATGCACGAGACAACGGACAAAACCGCTGTACCCCCCCACCCGGCCCCCCCCTGCCCGCTCATCCTGGAGCCGGGTTGCTGAGGTAAATTCCGAAGTCCTGCGTGCCACAGAATGCGATCGGACAATCATTACTAAGGAACTCAGCTCTACTGCCATCTAGAAACTTAGGGTTTACATGGGTTTGCTACAGAGGCCTGAGTATGTTGAACAGGGTTTCCGGGTACATTATGCCATAAATGTTTTAGGATCTACTTTTCAGGGGTTACTACCGCTTCTGTAGACGTCCCAAAACACAGGGCTGGGTCTAGTGGCTACGGTGGAGCTTCTGGGTTCAGATTCGAGATGCCAAGGCTCCTGGGTGGTTTCGGGTTAAGTTAGGGTTTGGGGCTTAGGGTTTCGGGTTTAGGGTTTAGGGGGCTTAAGGCTTACAGAGTGAGTGTTGAGGGTTGAGGGTTCAGAATTCGGGGTTAAGCCTGCTGTAGCTTAATTAATTACTCTACATGGACCTTGCTCACCAAGGCTCTACAGCGGTATTTTAACGCTCAATATCGAGGCCTTGACAGTTCCAACAAGGTTTTGGAGCTAAACTGTTAGGACGCCTGAGGAGTAGCAATAGCCATCATTCGGGCCGCAACCAAGGATGCAGCGTGCCTTAAACAGTCAAGTCTAAAGCCAATGCCACAGAATTTGGGGTACATTAATGCTACAACGGCACATTCTAGTACAGCAATGATAAGGAGCCCAAAGGAGCAATACTGGGAGCTATCCGCCCATATTACTTCCTGGAGGGTTCAAGCGCCCTAATACTACGGGTTTAGGCCGCGAAAACTATCCTCTGAATGGTTTTGGTACCTAAAGCCCACTAAAAGATCCTCGTACTTGAGCAGTTGGATCTTTCGGGTAAAAGCCTTTATAAAGGAAACCCTATGGCCACTATGGAATCCTTTGTGCAGGAGCCCTAAACCCCAAAACCCGAAAGCAAATTTTAGCACTTGGATCCTTAGGGTGCGGTTTGGGGTTTAGGGTTTATGGTTTCGGGTGTAGGGTTAGGGTTTAGGGTTTGGGGTTTAGGGTTTAGGGTTCCCATTTCGGTCCGTCGGCGGGTACAACCAGAAAAGCTCCAGGCCGCCAGCAATGAAGGTGGAGATGCCTGGGCCCCCTAAGCCCTAGAACCTAACCTTTCGGGCTTAAGGCTTAGCGTTTAGGGTTTAGGTCTAGTTTTTTGGGGTTAGGGTTGAGGGTGCAAGGTTTCATATTAATGTTAGTGTTTTAGGCTTAAGGCCTGGAAACCGACAGGCTGACCCCTCCAACCGCAGCAGGAACACCCTCGCATTCGTCCCCGCTGTCGGTCAGGGGAAATAAGTCCTCCTCCAGGTCATCCGAGTCAGTGCGAAGCACTTCCATGTATGGGTCGGAAGAGATTGCGGTAAGAACCTGTGCTGGAAATTCATCCTCCAGCTCCTGCTTACATGGGTCACCCAGGCTTGCGTCGAGAGCCCGTGCAAGCCACTCATCCTCCAGCTGTTGCTCGTCCGCATCTGCGGGAACTGGTGGTGCCATGCCTGCATCACGCAAGCTTACGGCCAAAGCATGCGCAAGAAGATCGTCGGACTCCTCCGCCTCCTGCTTGTTTTCCATGCCGTTAGCACCGTTAGATTGAGCGGCTAGGAACAACAAAACTCCGCATTTCCATGCGAACATGTTCTCGCAGGGTCAGAGCGGAAAGCAGGAAGAAACCTACCCAGAGAGCTTTCACGGCAGCTGCATGAACGGTAACATATACTTTGGAAAAGCAACAGACCAAAACTCTGTCATTGCAGGAGCATCACGAGCACCATGTGCTCTGCCACTTTCATGTTAGCACATACATGTGTGTGCACGCATGTAACAGCCAACGCACCAAAGCGGATTTCGCTGCAGCCGCGTAGTCAGCGTTCAGGTGTTTTGAAACGAAGCGTGGTGTATGTTCACATCACGAGCATCATCCGCGCGGACACCGGGGTGTTTACGTGCACATGTTTGCACACCCGACACAGGCAAAACAGCAGCTCCCCCACCAACACTGCGAGGTTAGCAAAGTCTAACACGTGGGCGGCCCCCCGAAACCGAGACCCAGAAACCCTGCTTCCGAGCACCGGCGAACCCTTAAACTATCGCAAAGGCTGGAAAACCACGGTAGACGATAGCAATTAAAAGCAATCAAACGGTTCAGAATTGGTTTGCATTCAGCGATGCCAGCGTAGACAACACATGATCATCCAAAGGATCCCTTCCAAAACGCATTGGTCAGCCGCAAGGTTGAGGATTTGGTTTTTCGGGGTGCTAACTTTAGTTTAATAGCCGGAAACTCCCAACTCTGAGCTTGGAGCCCCGGCTCAAACTCTACATCCCAGGCTATCAACCCTAAGCCAGGCTGCCCACAAATCCTTGACCGGCACTAATCCCAGTCCTAACTTCTCTCGACGCCCCCTGACACACTTCAACAGAGTGCATGGGCGCGACGTTCGAGTGTTCATGAGGCGCCTGGCAGGCCGCGCCCTGACCCTGAACCTCCGAGAACCGGGGACCCTGCACCTTGGGACACGTACTCCGCCTACAATCGTTTCTGTATGCAGTTCAGTTGTCCTGCAGAGAAGGCTTCCCTCATGAACTCTTTCTGCAGGCCGACTTTCACCGAAAGCGTTGTGTTCGAGCAAAAGTGGACCCGTCCGAAGCGCGTCCCTAAGCTGTCGCTGGGGGCCGGTGCTTTTCCAGCAGTCCTTTGCCCATAGTTGTTGCAATGGTTGGAAGTGGAGAAGTAGCCAGCGAGCAAGCGGCAGCGGCCCGCGGCGACGATGAACCAGCACCGGTCGAATCTGAGACTTCCGGCTGTGACAAGCTGGGGATGGAGCCGCGCTTGGTGGGGTCAGGACCAAGCGGGACGCATTGCCAACGATCTGGAAGGCAGAAGGAGTTGGGCTACAAGTTGGGGAAACTACAGCACTGATGCCTCATCCCACTATGCTCGATCGTGGAACGGCAACGAGGCCGACGATGGCTTCGGTGGCGGAGACAACCGGCGAGGCGACCTAGATCTCTTCGAGCAGGCCTCGGCAATTGAGAAGGAGTCTGGAGAGATCTCTGGGTGGATGGTCGAGCGAGAGTCCATGGACGGCGCGATTCCCCCGACGGTCTGTCTACGAGACCATCTGAGAGATGATCGGGGTGGATAAAGCCACCTACCCGGTCGCGTGCTTGAGTGATTGCCGCTCTTCGAGCACATATCCACAACGAAGGAGTACCGCACGCTCCCACGGACCGCAGATTGGGTATCGATCTGGCAGACTTCAGACGGTCGCTGAAGCAGGAGAGATGGAGCCCTAAGTTGCCGTTAACCTGGATACCGAGCGGAAAACAACTCGGCGATGTGCTGACAAAGCCACAAGATCCGTCTTCATGGTGGGCTGCCGTTAAACGCCAGCTCACTCTATAGCAGAGAAGGGAAGTGTAGTCAGTAACGACTTTTGTCGGGAGAAGAAGACCAGTGTGAAGCCTCGTGATGAATCAAGTCATACTCCGCTTCACAATCGTTTCTGTATGCAGCTATCCTGCTGAGAAGGTTTCCCTCCCGAACTCTTTCTGCAGGCCGACTTTCACCGAAAGCATTGTGTTCGAGCAGAAATGGACCCGTGCGAGGCAGGCACCCTGGGCTGTCGCTGGGGCCGGTGCTTTTCTGTAGCTTGTCTTGTAGTTTCAAGTTTTGGGCTTAGGGTTTAGGGCCGTACTGTTTAAGGGCTCTTACGGTAAGGATCCAGCTATGCAGGGTTCTGCAGTAGAAGTGCTACCATTTACGCTTCTGATAACAAAAACCCTACTTCTCAGGGATCTTATCATAAGGATTCCACCGTAAACCCTAAACCCTAAACCCCTTGGCATCGTGGACCCTGAACCGACAAGAGCTGCACTGGCCCTCGGCTTTCAGGGTTCAAAGGGTTTCGATTTAGGGTACCAGTAGACGAATATAGGGGGCCTTAATAATTAGAATGGGGTTTTGAGTATACTATACTACCGGTATAATAAGGAACCCCCCCAAAAAATAGTATCGGTAATTTTGTTTAAGGCCCTATGCCAGACCCTAGACCCCAGGAGGCTCGACTCCTACCTCCCGTTTTTTTTGTTGAGGGCTTTTACGTAGGGGTTTAGGGTTTAGGGGTTTAGGGTTGTCCCTAAACCCTAAACCCTAAACCCCTAAACCCTAAACCCCTAAACCCTAAACCCCTAAACCCTAAACCCTAAACCCTAAATCCCTCCGAAACGCGAAGTGTTCTGGTAGCTTCGGCGAGGGGCCAAGATCCAGGCGAATGTCGGCACTGGTCGCAAGAGGCTCCGAAATCCTCGAGTCGAAGGCTTTGAGAGAGTTTAGGGTTGAGGGGTTTAGGGTTTAGGATTTAGGGTTTAGCGGTCCAGCGGTTAGGGGTCTAAATCCTGAACTTTAAGGGTTTAGTTTAGGGTTTAGGATGTTAAGACTCAGGGTTCTGGGTGTTCTTTAGGCTGTTGCGGTGCCGCTGTAGCATTGTAGGATTCTCACCGAGGTCAGGGCTGTCAGAGGGTTTGGTTGAGATAACTCGGAGGATCGGGGGACTTAGTAAGTTTTATAGACTGAGGGTTTAGGGTTTCGGTTCGAAAAAGTTAGGGTTTAGGGTTTAGGTTCGAAATATTTAGGGTTTAGGGTTTCGGTTCGAAGTATGTTACGGTTACCCCAATTAAGACCCCTTTTTTTTGCACTTGTAATCCGATTCATTACCTACTTACTAAGTCCCCCGACCCTCGAAGTAGACCCCTGATCGGTAAAACTTGTTTGTTAGATGGGTCTAGGATTTAGGGTTTAGGGGTCTAGGGGTTAGGACCTAGGGGTTAGGGGTCTAGGGTTTAGGATTTAGGATTTAGCTGTTAACAATCAAGCGTCCATGGCATTTAGGAGGTCCGACAACTGGAGTCGAGTATCAAGGACTAGGGTTTAGGGCGAACTCAGGAGTTGAAGATGTGTGGTTAAAGTTATGAGGGCTAAACCCTTAACCCAAAAGTTGGAATGTGGATCAGGAGCTGCGGGGTTTCAGCAGTTTGGGGCAGTTTGGGTTTCGGTTTCAGGGGTTGAGATTGTAAGGTTTAGGGTTAGGGTTTAGGCCTAGGGTTCAGGCTTTGTGTAGGGTTTAAGGCTTAGGGCCTAAATAATCAAGGATTTTCAGAGAAACGGGCAAGGATTTGAGACAGCAGCTCCGTAGGGAATTGAATTCAGACGCCGTGGCTTGATGCTTCGGGGCTTCGGGGTTTCGACGGGGAGCTAGTGTGGTTCAGGGCTTCAGGCGTAAGGGCTTCTCGGAATATTTCATCCTCAAACCTAAACCCTAAACCCTAAACCCTACACCCTAAAGCGTAAAACAAAAAACATCGAAATCCAGGTGCGCTGTTTCAGACGTTGGGGCCATTCTCTGGGGCTCCAAATAGCCCAAAGTAGGTCATATTTACAGACTTTAGACCCCAAAGTGGGTACTACTTGTGTACTTGGAGCCTAGGGTATGTATAAATGCGATACCCTAAACCATCCTAAACCCCTCAGCCCTGAAGCCTAAAGCCGCCGTGAGGGTTGTTTCGGACCTTTGGCTTCGACTGTTTTCGTTGTTGTTGTTGTTGTTTTTTTTTTGGGGGGG